AGAGATCAGCTTGATTATGAAAAGAGTTGTTAGAATGTGATTTAATTTTGTGAAAGGAGATTTTGAGAGATTTTGTTTGAATAAAATACTGAATGATAAATAAAATATCCCAGTTTTTGATATGTGAAAATTTGTATAAGGATGTGAATAATTTGATCATATGGGCTAATCGGAGACATTGGCCCTAGACAGAGGCACTAAAGTTACTTTGAACCCCATAATTAATCGTTTTTAATTGGTCTGCATATGGAACAATTGCTCAATCAATACCCTAAGTAATTCAAATAAAACCTTAAATAATTCAAGTATATAATAGATCATGCAAGATAATGTGTCAAACCCATTAGTCCCAACCCAAAACCCATTAGTCCAAACCCTATAGAGTCAGGCCATTCGACATCGTTATCATATACATATGCACTGTACATACATATATTGTAAACGTCAAATTTACCTCCATCCATTAAATTTTGTAAACAAAATTAATGAAAGAGAAATCGTTGGAAATTTGTAAATAGAAAGATTAGTTAAAATTTTAAATTATATGTAAATAATAAAAAGTAAGTGACCCAACTTACTCTTAATAAAAATACTCAGTTAAGTTCAAAATTTCAGTCTTAGAAGTGTGATCCTCTAAAAAGTTTTTTCTTTGATTATTAAATCTTTTATTATTTTTGGCACCGTAATATTCATAAAACTCATATTCTTGTTTCATAAAATTAAAAAAGAAAATTGTTGATTAGAAATCAGAGCCCTTATATATTAATACCAACTGATTAACCACATCATTATAGACTTAAGATCTAATATCGTGATCCATATCATACCATAAACCAGAATTCATGATAGAGATAACATATTTAAGCCCTACTACACTAAAAAATAACATATTGTTAATAGTTATATAAAAAAGGAAAGAATTAAAAAAAAAAATAGAGATATTAAAAGAAAACAAGTTCAATTACGTATCTTGTAACTACCGCAATAATAAAAAAGTCCAAAAATTCAGACCAAATTCCTCATACTTTTGCAGCCTACCCTTTGAGTTTCATACCTTATGATTTTTTAGTATCAAATATGTGGTTCCACTAATAGTTAAGTATTCTGAATTTCTATTTCTTATCTTCTTTTTCTTTATATTTCAATTATATATTAATCATGTTAAACATAATTCTCTTTAAGGTATATTAGGTTGATTTCTGGAATGGAGTTTAGAACTGAATTCGACCTGTTCAGACTTGATTTAAATTCAGTTATAGAACCAAAACTACTGAATCTGCAATATTCACATCATCTGTATAAATGCATAGAGAACAAAATATTCGATCACCTATAAATTTTTATAGTGATAAAATAGGTTTTGTTCCTAAGTAGTTAAATGTTTTTGTCACTGAGTTTATGTATATATACACATATATACAATGACACTACTATCATTATCTTTTTGAATTCGACCACTAAAGTAATTGATGGAATAAACTCAGATTTAAATTAAATAAATTCTGATTCAGAAGCAAAATCTGGTTTTAAACTCTATTTACAATAATTTGAATGCTTATATTTGTTAATTAATCTTATAAGTGTTAATTGTCGAGTAGGCATATATGAATTTAGATCAAATGAATAATGTCATTTAATCTACTAAAAGTTCAACATGTTTAATAAAGTAGTAAATAGAATAGAATCACTATTTGTAAAAAATAAGAAAGCAGATATCAGTTATTTATATATGTTAATAAAATAGAATTACTATTTGTACAAAGTGTAAAGGTAAATATAGTTATTCATACATTAAATTTTTTATTGATTTTAAAAGCAAAAGAGCTAATTCATTGTACTTTATAGATTCCTCAAAACGGCATTATTATAATTAGTTCTCATTGAACTATGCGTTATAATACTAGCATTTCTTAAATACCAACTTCTCTATAAAATAGATTCTGATGCGACAGGTATTTATGATTTCTTAATCTTGAGTGATTACATCTGGAATTTGTTCTTCATCAGTAGCTTGGCTTTTTTCAAATACAGTGCTTTTATCCATTGTAAAGTTATCATCCATGAATTTAATTATGACTTTTTGGGGTACTTGATCATATTTCACCTTTTTTATGATGTTTCATTTATCATACGTCATCTCTATATTCTTTCTATATTCTGTGATGGGTTGACTGTATATGACATTCTCTATGTTATTTTTATAATTAATGGTGGGTTGTCTAATGGGTGGTCTTTTTTTTTTGGATAGAAGCCTTCACCTAGGTGGCATTTTTTAAATAGAAAAAAAAGTATGTTTTAATAGATGTATAAGAAAATGTGATTCACTTTTTTTGTCAATCTAATTTGTATAAATTATTATAAAAAACAGCATTTTAATGCTACTTATATAGAGTAATTTTAAGCAGAAAACTGATCTTTTTCCTGAATACCCGTCTATTGTTAGTGATGTGTTTTGTGAATAGCACATGGTCGGCCTACAGAAAATAATTATAATTATATGCAAAGACAATTATATAATTTTGAATTAGGTTTATGGTCAAAACTTATATGAATCGTCATATTGCAAAGACAATTATCATATAAAAATGCCATATAAGCTTTGATTCACATTATACAACTACTTTTTATACAATCGTGATTATTCTCTATACATCATGAATGATTCATGAGATGCATTGAATGATGGATAAAAGTATGTTGAAAAGCACTCTAAACAAGTATCTCATATAATAATGATTTTTAATAATTTAAAGATCCCAATTTTAAATAACATTGCAATTGTATTCAATAAATTATCAAATTTATTATACTACGTATTAAATATTTGAAGCTAAAATCCTAATTATCATGATAGCTAAAAAAGGAATCGTACTAATAAACCTCAAAGCCAAAAACCCCAATTATCATAATATTTAGTTAAAAAAGGAATAACTTCTTGAATAATGTTTTACATAACGCTAAATAAATTAATATCGTCTAATCTAAAAATAGTAAGACACAAACATACACAAAATTTGATTTACCTGAAATTGCGCAGTTTAGTGTGATCAAAAAAATTACCGATCTAATATTAATTTGAAAACATGACAAAGGTAAATTTTAACTTACAATATAGATGTTTTGTTGTTGCTCAAGATACTTTATGCAACATTGCTAATGAGTTCGTTTTTATTAACAATCACTAATAAATTTTTTTATAACTCTGATATACATGTTCTTTAAATAATTGCTGGATTGATTGTTAGTAAAGTAATTGTTAGTAGTGTGAATTCCATTGCTGATATAAAGATCTAAATATGACTCCATGATACTACAATTAAAAGTTTAATATTAAATTCGTGTTTGTCTCTGTTTGTAATAGTACCTATATTAAAGCAAATATATAAGTACTACAAAATCACTCAAATCACTCAGATTACTCAATAATTAAAAATAAATCAGAAATTAAAAAAATTGAAGTAGGAGATTATCCCCAAATCCCTACAATTACTTACCAAGAAAAAAAAAATAATATAATTCAACGATCATTTAGTTATTTTATAGAAAATGAGGGATTTTATCCTTATGAACTTTGCTATACTTTGCCCCCTAAAAAATATCCAATCCCTAATAATTATTCTGTAAAAACCACTTGGAGACATTCTGTAAATCGGTGAACAGTCCAATGTAAAATCAAATACAAAGACAGAAAACCAGAATTTCAAATTCTATATGGTGCTTCTTTTGAATTTGAAGATAACTCAAATATATCAGCTAGCAGAGCTGCAACAGATTATGAGAAGGCTGTAAATAAAAGTTCAAATAAAATAAGTTTTTTATCTGGGCCTTTATTATTCAGGTTACAGCTTCAAAAACTTCATACAATTAGAGAATTTCAAGTTAAACACCACATAATCAAACTTGTAGAACAATATTCTCAGAAAACTCTTATAAGGCGTGCAAAAGAAATTGCAACAACACTTAAACAAGGATTTGGTCAAACTAGTGAACTTATATATAACACACAAGACTCTATTTCATTAAAGTCATTCAAATGTACTATAAATAATCAAAATTATTATTTTGATATTGGAAACGAAAATCCTATACAAAAACAAGTAGAAATCTTAAATATAATTAAAGTAATGAATTCAAGTTTTATCTCGTAGAATGCATATAGAGACTTGACTGCAATAAATTTTCACCTACCATGTGAATATATTATTGTAAATGAATGAAATAAGTTAACACAAGAGATGATCGATAAGATTCCAATTAAACTTATAAATATGAATAAGGCAATAAATAATACTAATATCGATTTAGATAGTGAAGAACTCGATCATATCAATATAGGTACCATTAATAAAGTTAGTAGATCTGAATTTATAGGTGGACAACGTGATTTTAAAGAACTCCTTCAATATATAATTCCTCATTTGGTACAAGAAAATGTTTTGTCTGTTGATGATCCAACACTTCATATACGAATTTCTGGAGATGGTCGTAATGTAGGTCGAAAGGTAAAACATGTTATGATAACATTCATGATTCTTAATGATATAAAGAATCATCATATACCTAATTATCATCATACCGTTATTTTATATCCTAGAGTTGAAAAATACGAGCCACTTGAGTTTATATTAAATCTATTGATTAATGATCTTAGAGATCTTAAAAATAATGGATTAAACATCGCAAACACTCTTTGGCATTTTGGATTATATTTTAGTAGTAATTGGAAATTTCTTGCTATTTGTCTTGGGCTAAATTCTGCAAATTCGAACCATTTTTGTGCTTGGTGTCTTTGCTCTAAATGTGAAATCGGTAATATTAAACAAGATTGGTGAATTACAAAATCGATGAATAATTTAAAAATCAACTATTCTAATATTCCTGGTCACACGAAAGCACTGTTATTCGATATGATTTCATTATCTAATTATGTATTTGACGAGTTACATGCATTATTAAGAATTGAAGATCGACTTTGGACATTAGTATTATCAGAACTCAAGGAGAGAAATTTATTTAATGATATTAGCCGAAAAATAATTGTAAATGAAATGAATTAGATTAATGTTAAATTTCATTTTTGGGAAGAATCAAACATATGGAAATATACGTCATTAACAGGTGATGATATAATTAAAGTATTAAAATACTTTAATTTGGGTACTCTTTTTTGTCCAAGTCGAGCCCAATTAATTCAGTCTTTGTGGAATAAATTTATCGATTTGTATAAGGTAATATGTGATCAAAATAGCGATTCTTTATATTTAAAACACTTAGCACTCGAATGGTTAAACCTTTTTCTAAAACCTGATGAGAAGAATTCGAATAATCCACACAATATTACCAAAGATATTTATTTGCCAAGTCAGGTAACCTCCTATATGCATTTTTTAGTGTTTTATGGGTGGAAACTACACCAAAAACATAAGCGATGGGCTCTAAAAGCATTTTTGTGTAATGTCGTGGAAAAAAAAAATCATACACAGGTATCTTATTTTTTTCGAAAATCTACTATGAATGGTGGGCTTAAAAATAAGGCAGCAAGGTTGAAATTTTAGAACATGAGTCTCGTAATCTTTTTTTTGCTTATAATGATTTTTCTGAGCAACCAAAAATCAAAAAACTTTGTATCGAATAATTGTAAAAAAAAATAATTATAAAATTATATACTGTAAAACATTAATAGTATGTTTGGGTGTTCGCTATACATTGTGAAAGTTAAATCGTCCACCTTGGTGATCTTGATCCATTAAAAATTCATGCCTTGTTATCGCTATTTTTGTTCCTGTGACTTTTGTAAAACTGATACGTACTGTATTAATAAGCAGATCCCTTATATATATATAAATCAAAGTGATTGAGTTTGTGATTGAGTTTGTGATGACATCATTATACTCATCGTTAAAATATTGATCACTGAAAGAGTTCCTATGATTTATATCCTGTGACCCACTCTAGAACAATTTTGAATGCTATAGTAAAAAACTATAGTAATAAAAAAATAAGTATTACCAATAATTTAGAGCCAACCTAGTAACCTAAAAATACTCAAAAATAAGCTTTCACAATACCTAAGAATCTTAAACCTCAGACCAAGTATCTTCACATCTCGATCGAAGCCTACTCTAAGGTTTTGATGTATTGTATAGTTAAGTATGTATGCTCTAAAATCATCTTTAAATAAAGAATACATAAATATACATTCTATTATATAATAAATGTCTAATAACCATAAAATGAGTTTCCTTATTTTTCATCAGATTCTTATGAAGTTAAACTCAACATAATTAATAGAAGCTCTTCCATATGATGGTAAATATATACCAAGTTAGGTTAAAATGATTGGTCAACAGAGTGACAAAGCCAATATTATTGTGAGCTATTAGTTATAATATATCTCATATGAGCATGTAAAATGATTGTGCTGAAAAATGACGAAAAATGTAGTAATTCATAATATCGTTATTTTTAATAACCTATTAAATAGGTATATTAGTAATTCTTGGTAAGTAAATCTAGTTACTTTTGGTTTCGCTATTGCCTGCTTTGCATCATTAGGCTGGCTCTTCCCTTACCCACACATCTGAGTATATGAACATATTAAGTAAAATATGTTTTCAAGAAGAAAAGAATGAAAACACGTGTTATGTTATTAATATAAGTAATTGTATTTAGTCTTAAGTTATTAATGAATATATTGAAAATACTAATAATTGCTTTTTTGTTTTGTTTGAGCATATTTGGGTTAATAATTAATAACACAATCAATCGAGATTTTGGGCATGTAATTTGGTTTTGGGCATTGCAAGGTTTCACAGATATATAATAGCGCAAGAACCTTATTAGCTTTTAGTGACCCAATACTAGTATTTTAGTTAATAAATTAAAGGCTCCACAGCTGTTTTTTCTTTACAGTGCAAAGATCTTTCGATTTCAGTTCTATTTGGAAGCAAGTATTTTATAGAGATTGTTCAATTGAAGATTATCAGATTTGGTAACCACATTGGTAACATTAAGGTTCTACAGCTGTTTTTTCTTTACAATGCAAAGACTTTTTGATTGAAAATCACCAAACTTAATAACCACATTGGTGATATAAAGGCTTTACGACTGCATAGCAGTGCAAAGACAATAG